AATCCTTTGATCTATGAAAAAGTTTTAGACCGGACAAAAAATATACCCTGTAACAGACTATGTAAGCATTTGACCTCCCAGTGTGACCTTGACCTTGGAGGTAGGTGCCCGTTTTTTTGCGCATGACACATCATCTGATTATTTTGAACAACTATGGCAAGTATTTACAAAATCCCTTCATAGATAAGAAAGTTATGGACCGGACACGACATATACCCTCAAATAGACAATGTTAACCTTGAATGAGCAAGTACGACCTTGACCCTGAAGGTAAGGGTCTGGTTGTTGCGCATGACACATCGTCTTATTATAACAAACATTTGTGCCAAGTTATCTCAAATTCCTTTGATAAATGACAAAGTTATGGACCGGACACGAAATATACCCTGTAACAGACTATGTTAATATTTGACCTCCAAGTGTGACCTTGACCTTGAAGGTAGGTGACTGGTTTTTGCGCATGACACATCGTCTGATTATTGTGAACAATTATGGCAAGTATTTACAAAATCCCTTCATAGATAAGAAAGTTATGGACCGGACACGACATATACCCTCAAATAGACAATGTTAACCTTGAATGAGCAAGTACGACCTTGACCCTGAAGGTAAGGGTCTGGTTGTTGCGCATGACACATCGTCTTATTATAACAAACATTTGTGCCAAGTTATTTCAAATTCCTTTCATAAATGACAAAGTTATGGACCGGACACGAAATATACCCTGTAACAGACTATGTTAATATTTGACCTCCAAGTGTGACCTTGACCTTGAAGGTAGGTGACTGGTTTTTGCGCATGACACATCGTCTGATTATTGTGAACAATTATGGCAAGTATTTACAAAATCCCTTCATAGATAAGAAAGTTATGGACCGGACACGACATATACCCTCAAATAGACAATGTTAACCTTAAATGAGCAAGTACGACCTTGACCCTGAAGGTAAGGGTCTGGTTGTTGCGCATGACACATCCTCTTATTATAATAAACATTTGTGCCAAGTTATTTTAAATTCCTTTCATAAATGACAAAGTTATGGACCGGACACGAAAGTGTGACGGACAGACGGACGGACGGACGGAGCCTATTTCTATATCCCCCTTTTTTCTTCGAAAAGGCGGGGGACAATTAGACGGGTAGTCCACCGTGAAGCTATTACGGTAAAAGTCCACGCTTCTAAAATGATGCAGAATCGATATTTTCACTACACTGATTGAGTTAATCCCATATATTTGCATAATGGTCACGACATTCATCAACTTTCCACTAAAGTGGTATACAGAATTTAAAGTAAGTTTCGAGTTAGCTTAGGGAATGGGCTAATTTGAGAGGTGTTCTTAATTAAACTATACTCTTAATAAAACAATACTTATTTTATTGTTTTGTTTTTGAAATATTGAAAACTACCAGTTAGACACAAGTTATATAACACTGTTCGAATTTTGGAATTGACATAGAATTTAAAATCTATACATTTAAAGATACTTCAAAGAACGAATGACAGAAAAGATATTTTCATGATGTCATGAATAACCATAGCATAAACTTGGATGACGTCTGGGTATTTCAATTGAAAGAAAAAATGAGCCTTGTCATGACAAAACCAACATAATGGGTTTGCGACCAGCATGGATCCAGACCAGCCTGCGCATCCGCGCAGTCTGATCAGGATCCATGCTGTTCGCTATCAGTTTCTCTACTTGTATTAATAGGGTTTGTAAGCGAACAGCATGGATTCTGATCAGACTGCGCGGATGCGCAGGTTGGTCTATATCCATGCTGGTCGCAAACTCATTATGTTGGTTTTGTCGTGACGTGGCTCAAATATATTAAAATCCACGTAGAAAAAAAAATAAAAAAAATATTTTTTTTAATCTCAACTATGTGAGTTAGCATTTATTTCACAATCAATCGGATTTTTCTTAGTGTTAATCTGGCTGGCGACAATTCCAGCAACATCCAGTCCCTCATCATCTCTTTTATGTTTGGCTTCCCACCATTCGTGTTTAAAGATCCTGTATGTTTTGTGATTGATATTGTTACTGTATGCATCATACTCTTGCAAAATGTTATATATGTATATAGTTATGCAAATAAAACAATTTTCAAACATCCAAGAATATGTAAAATGTGTACTGCAAATATTTGTGCACATTATATTTAATGAATAAGTTACATGCATTCATTTCTTATTGGAAAATTTGACTTGGAATTTATAGAAAATAAATTTCTAATTACCTCCCTTTATTTACGCAAAATGTTAAATTGGGTAATATCTTTATAAAAAATGCTTATTTGAACTTACAAGATTGACAAATCTTAATTTGAGCATCATATTTATGAAATAAAACCATGAAAAAAATGTGTTACAGGATCTTTAACATTGATACATGTGTTTTACGTACAAAGTCATCGAACTTAAATTAAGAAATTGAAAATAATTAAGAAATGAAATTTTAAATACCAACGACAAAGATTTAAATAAAATAGTCTTGTTTAGCAGATATGTTTTAAGATAATTTAGAAGAGGAAAAACATTATATTGTGTATTGAAACAATTTTCCATTGACATTGAAGTTGGATGCCATTTTCAAAATAAAGTTCACTTTATTGAAATGAAACATATTTTAGTTCTAAGTACCTTTCATAGTAAGCCCTTCTTTCTTTAGCTTTTCTTTTTTCATCCGGTCTTTCAGGTTTTCCAACATTTTCTTTTTCAGTCAGTTTGCTTTTCTGGAATTTACTCCTGGAAAACTATTAAATTATCTTTCAAAATCTCCAAATGCTTTTGTTTCATCGGACGTAGACGTAAATTATTTGTTTTTGTTTTCAATTACAATAAAATTTTTATTAACTAATTCTTTTAACAACTTTGTTTCGACTTCTGTGAAATACAATCTTTTACACGACATGGTTACTCTCGTTTTTGCAATGTATATTGAGTGATGTTATGCAATAAAACCGATCGCTCAACTTTTGAAGGCCTCTCATGTGATGTTATGTTGAGTTAACAAAACGAATACCACTTTGCACATTGTGATTTACTTACCGTTAGAGTTACTTCAATGTTACTTGAGGTGACCTTTTGTGAGTTTGAGTCGAGATTGAGATTAATGTGGTGAGGTATGGTAGTGTAACCGTAATCCGGAACATACCGTTCCCGGAAGGTACGAGATTTACGAGATAGCCGCCATCTTGTAAGAAGGTAATTAGAACGGCAAGATAAATCCGAAGAATCTGAGAGATATAAATGGTCATCCGTACAGGGAAAGTGTTTCAAGGTAAGCAGAACACTTTAATGGTGGCAGCTACTATTCGAATTCACGTCAACTTCGTAGGAATTCTACGCAATCCGGAGGTAAACCAGCGATTTTCTCAACCATAAAAACTTTGGTTTTCAAATATTGAAATCTAAGTATTTCCAATGTTTGGGAGGGGGAAAAGGGACTGTTGGTTTGGATTGAACAAGCACTGTGCGTTTAGATGATTTAATGTGGAAATTTGCCAAAATTGAGTATTTAGAGTACTCTTTTGGTAAGTTTAGAAACTTCGGATATTCGGACTTACGACGCATGCGTATTGGAAAGCTAAGCTTCCGCCCTGGATCAGTTTCGCACGTGAAAACTGTGCCAGTTCAGCCTTATATTTTAAATATTTTTTGAATAATATTTAGTTTAAATTTTTGGTATATTTTCAGCGGTTCAGTATAATTGATTGAATTTATTTGCATTGTTGTTTTTCAAGGTCAATACACAAAGTAAATTTACTCTTGTTTGATTTTTGTTTGTATGTATAGTTGAAGGCTAAGTCTCATTATATATTTAATTTTACAATTAGAGGCAAAGATCCTCATTGTAGTTATAAACAACGAAGTCAGATTTTTGTATTTTATTTTCGTTATTGATTTTTGAATTACTAAGTAGATATTCTATCATAATTTTAATCTGAATTGTTTAAATAAATGTAAATTATTTTTCGGGTATGAATTAATTGTCTGTAATTCAAGAATTTGAATATACAATAAAGTAATTTTTTATGTAAGATAATTGCAAGTCTGCTGTCTAACGACTGATTGACTTGACATACTTTAGCTGAACTTCACTGAATCCAATTGCACGTCGTCATATCTTTGGGCTACTAAGTAAGAACAAAAACAATGGCAGGTTGCAGCGAAAGAATTTGTGTTAATTTTGCTTCAAAAGAGGAACTCCTAAGGATTCCGGACATAAGTTCAAGGATAGCTGAGTCTATTATTACAATCCGTAATAGTGGAGGGAATATAACACTCGGAGTGCTGCAAGACATGTTAGAGCGCACTTTAGATAAAGAGGAAGTAGCTCTGCTGGACTTCTCACCAAGTGAGGGGTTGCCATTAGATTTGGGGAAAATACTACCTGAAGTACCATCTTCGTCAAGGAAAGATTCTGGTGAAGGAGGGGACAGTCGAGCAATTTTGGACAGCTTGTTAGAGGTTCAAGAAAAGGTGAACTGCGATGAGAAAGCTGAGGAGCCCGACAATATTCCTTCAAGAAATGATTGGCGAGAGGTAAAAAAAAGTCTTGAAAGTAGCCAAAGATATCATTCGCACCAAAATGCAAGTGGTTCGGTTGACCCCCTGTCCTCAAAGGCCAAGTTCTTGGGAGGTGGGGCGCGTCCCAAGCTAAACGCAGCTGCTAGGTATGATGATTCTTCAAGTGATGAATTGTCTGGACTGAGTAGACCATCTTCTTCGCAACCTAGTTAAACATAGCGCAAAAAAGTCCGAGACTGCAGCATTTATTCGGAGTCTGCCGAAGAGGTTGCAGTTAATGGAAAGGGAAACTGGCTGGCATTTAAGCAGAAGTTCTTTCGTTATGATAACGCATGCGATTGGACGTCAGACGAATGCCTTGATGGTTTATGCTGGTGCCTGACTGGAAAAGCCGCTGACTATCATGCAATCATCGTGGAGAGAGATGGTGATATTTCTTATCGGAAGCTCTTGCAGAAACTGGAGATGAGATTTGGTTCCAGGGAACCTGCTGAAACAGCCCAAGTGTGTTTCCAGCAATCTTCACAGCTGCAGGGGGAGTCTCTTGATGATTGGGCAGATAGGGTCATGACCCTGGCGACAAATGCGTTAAAAGACCTGCCTGAATACTATTCCAATAGGCAGACAGTGAGCAAGTTTTGTGAGGGTCTGGTAGACAAAGATGCCGCGGTAGCCGTAGCCATGGATAGACCTTCAACCATGGAGGAGGCAATGAATAAAGTCCACTGGTATCAGCACCTGCATCAGTCAGTTTATGGCCGTTCTAAGAAGAGGGCTAGTAAAGAAGTTTTTGACGATGGCGCTAATGTGTTTGCCCTAGAAGAAGCTCCTGAGGTTGCGCAAGCCAACGCTGCTCCATCTCAGTTGAGTTCTTTTGAAGTGGCAATTGAGAAACTTCAGAGATGTTTTGACAACATGGTCCTGAAACTGGATGAGGAGAAGACTTCTCAAGGAAGAAGCAGATGGCCTAGAATAACTTGTTTCGGTTGTGGGAAAGAGGGTCATTTCAAGTCTGACTGCCCCTCACTGCAATAAAAGAAAACAAATAAAAAGGGGAGGAGGTAGTATGTGTTCTTCCGGTTAGCGCCAGAGTCGCAAACCAGCGTCATTTCATGCTAAGCATGGAGTGAGACCAGGTTTGTGAAGGAAACAGTCATGGACCAAGTTCCATGCTGGATGTATTCTCGATGTAGACAGCATGTAAAGTAACATTAGCAAGTGTGGAGCAGAATAGTTCGATTCGAGGCTCATTTGGTTATTGCTGGGAAAGAAGTAACACAGACAGTTTAAGCCAGGTCGAGGAGGGTTGTTCCATAGCAACATAATCCTATGTGTTTGTCAGAAGCATGTCAAAGCTGCATTGTCACGAATACCGGTATCGGGGCATTGTACGAGTTTGTTTCTGGGGTCGAACTGAGGAAACTGCCTTGTGGGGGATGTGATCATTGCGCAAGGGTTGACTTGGACCTCGTCATGAGGGACGTAGATGTGGAAATTCTCTTGGTATCGCAGGGTGTGTGAAGATGAAGTTTGACCGTGACAAGTCATAAGGTATCATCGCAATAATGTCGATAACCAGGTTTCACGAGGTGTGCGTAAGATGAAGTTTGACGAAAGTCATAAGGTATCATCGCAATAATGCTGATAATCTGGAAGAGATTTGCGGATCCATTGTATCGTCGGCAATTCCAAGGTCACAAGGGTCGCGAAGGTTCACAAGGAAGCAAATGTCCAAATGTTGGGGTTGTACGCAGAGAATCGGGTCAATGGTGCTAAAGTTTAGTGTGTTTGAAGATGCTGTAAGATTGTGAGCAGATATTGAGAATACAGATCGATGCTCTTGTGGTGGAAGGGGAAATAGGGCACAGTTTTGAGTAGTGGAACAACTTCCACAAGAAGCTGAAGAGTAACTTCCACCAGCAGTGCTAGTTCTAAGAGCTAGTGCTGGGTATTTAGTATTGCCAAAGTCATTAAGTAGTTCTAGTAGGTCCTGGGGCTAAGTCCCACTGGCTTAATAAGGAACAGTACTTATAAATAGACTAAGTTCTATTGAGGGACATGGGCTATACTAAAGGTAAGATTCCCAATAAGTAGAAAGGTTCTTCAGATGAGTCAGGATATACCATCAGGTGGTCTCTAGGTGTTGCAGTGACCAGGGCCAGGTTTAAGAAGATGTTCTTCTGGTATGGCAGGGGTCAAGATAGTGCAAGTCATGTGACGACATGTGGAATTGCATTTGCAGCATGAAGATGGATGGTCATGGGTAGGTTGGCACAACAGGTCCTGTTCTGAAGATACAAGGGAAAACAGAGGTTACAGCCAAAGCAAGCTGTGGTGCCTTTGATGCTGTTGGGAGATCTTATTGGAAATAACAGAAGCCTGGGATATTAACAAGTACAAATGTGCAATGCTAAGTTTGTTGCTTTCTTGTCCTGTGTTAATGTGGCTGCTGTGGTGTAAAGGTAGCTCCATAAATCTGTAGTTAACACTCAGGTTTGGTATGGAGGTGTAAGCTGCAATCGGCTTAGGAACTGGACGCTGGCCGCTGTTAAAACAGTGCCCAGGAAGGTAAGATATCTAAGATATCAAAAATCCAGTAAAGCTATCTGTCAATAACTTGTCAGATAGGCATTAGGCAGATTACTGTTGCACAGGCTAATGCCTGCCCACTTATAATCTGTGTTTACAGGCCAACGCCTGTAAAGGCGGTATTGTGGGTACTGGTTTGAAACCCAGGAGTGGACTTGAATCTCGGGTTTCCGCACTTCCGGTGAGAGGACTTCATCTTTAAAGTCGGGGGGAGTGTGGTGAGGTATGGTAGTGTAACCGTAATCCGGAACATACCGTTCCCGGAAGGTACGAGATTTAGTCCGGGCAAGAAGAGAACGATTCCTAGCCGCCATCTTGTAAGAAGGTAATTAGAACGGCAAGATAAATCCGAAGAATCTGAGAGATATAAATGGTCATCCGTACAGGGAAAGTGTTTCAATGTAAGCAGAACACTTTATTAAGTATCGTTTCTGAATACAGGCCGATGATTTTTACTTAGGGGTAGATGTATAGGATAGATCATGAGTACCAGTTGGATGTGAGATTTATCAACGAGCGTAAACGATTTTTCTCCGACAATTACATAGGGATATCCAAATATTTCTTATTCAATCTATTTGGCCTTATTGTAGGCAAAAAATATGCACGAGAAAATGGCATAATTCATGTTCTTTCATAAGTTACTGAATACACAATCTATTGAATGATAGATGAATCTTCACATTTTATCGCAAAGGTGCAGTCAGAATTGTGAAGAATTTAACATTTCTGAATGTGATAACATTATAATTTTGCAATTTGGGAGATTTTGTTGTTATTCCTGTTGATTCCTCATTTAAATGAATGTGATTTAATGACATAACATCGAACACAGCGCTTGGAAGCAAGACTGCCTACCGAAATATACTCTTAGACAGAAATCATGGGCGATGGATACTAATCAAGAGTTGGCTCGTTGGAGAAACGGGCAGGTAACTTTCATTAAACGTTTTCCTTAATGCTTAAACAACCCTAGGGTTCAGGATATTCATTGGTTATCTGGCTGAAGTTGAAAATATTTTACTTGACTTATAGATTCATTTATTTATTGTATGCTTTATATACATGCATTGACTTTTTTATTTCATTCATGAACTGAAAAAAAATATTACAAACGTTCCACTGAAGCCTTAAAGCATAAAATTTCCTAAGCGTTGCAACCGCAGCCCAGTCACCGTTCGGAAACTTCACCCCCTTGCCCACCAGTGGAATCCCCAGTGGAATCTATAGTGTCTGCTATAAAGAGTGATACGGACATAATTCAGGATCAGTGCCTGAAAATATTAGCACAAAAGCCGTCGTAAAATTTACATACATTTATAGATTTAAATAGATAGGTAAACGCATTTCACTTCATTATTGCTAGTTTATTCTTATTACAAATACAGCAACTATTCTTGTAAAATGAAATGTCGATATAAATTCGTCAAAGGACTATTGCTATCTGTTAGTTTTTTTAAGAAGGGTATTACACTATTTACTGTACAATATTCATAGAAATTTTCCACTCATAAAGCGTGCACATAACGGGGTTTTCCTTTCAGATGAATACAAACATGATAGTTATATCAAACACTTTACTGTGATGTGTGGGATATATCAAACACTTTTAAGCCTCTCTGATTGGCCGAGAGAAAACAGCTGTGGTCTAATTGTCCATTGACCTTAACGGCGTGTATACAAGAAATACAATGTACTGCTTTAATAAACGATATAACAGTCGAGCAATGTCCTTCCTAACGGTAATGACTTTACAGTTAGTCAGTATTCGTTATGTTTTCGTTGTGATATGCTATCTATGCTATCTATTTTGGGTAGTTTTATAGAAGCTTTATGGAGGTTTATAGTCCATATACTAGAAAAATGGCGGCCGCCAATTTGATTCAATATGATAAAGAAATTGACGTCTGCCGGTAAAGAATGCACAATACCTGCAGTTCCGAAAGCATTTCTTTATAAACCTCCAGAATATTATATATTATTTATACCCCGGTCACATATTCACGGAATACGCCCACGGAAGAGCCACGGATTAATTCCGGCATCGTCCGTAGCTACCCGTACTGGTCAGTAGCTCTCCGTATTGTAACCGTAATCAATCGTAGTAGTCCTGGTATATCCGTAGCGATCCTTGACAATTTTTGAACATGCACAAAAATTTGCTACGGAAAAATCAACCGTAGCGTATCCCTGCTAGTCCGTATTAAAACGTACCGATACTTACTGGTCCGTACGAAAACCGTACTAGTCCGTACTGATTCGTAGCCCACCAACTTGTCAAGGATTTCCACGGTTAGGTACGGATAACCTACGTTTAAGCTACGGTTTTAATACGGATTAATACGGAAAGCCACGATCGTAATACGTTGTACTACGGAGAAGCAGGGATTAGCACGGTCTTATACGGTTTATTGCGTTGCAACACGGACTTGTACGGTCCACCACTGTTTAGAACGGATGAATTAAGTATCATGTACTTTCCAAGGGTACTACCTTCTTGTTAAAAACAGACATATTTGCGGGAACATTCAATAAATGATAATTGCCATTTATTGGCTGCAATTTTATATTGAAATGGCTCAGAATGCGCAGGCAGTGGTCGAGCTGCTAGATGACATGCATAGAGGTAAAATATATTAATATCGTACTACAATTCTTAAGTAATAGAGTAATAATATTTAATGTTACACATTTTACAAACATTGGATCGTGAAATTTGAGTAAATATGTACATAAAACGAAGTGTCTCATAAGCCTTGGACACTGACCCTTGAGTTATAAGAAGATTAATTAACAAGCTTTTTACATATTTTTAAAACATAAACATTCACGATAATAAATAGTATAGCTAAAAAAAACGGCACATTTTAAAATTAAAAGAGAAGCAGTTTTTGATCAACACTTTTTTAATGATTACTAGTCCATATCTAATCAGGTAAGAGAGGACAGGCAAGATGGTGGACTGGAGATGGGCTTTCACGAAGACCCCTTCATGTTTAGTATGAGGCTCTCATGGCCGAACTTGTTGAGGACCCAGCGTCCTTCAAGAAATTCACTTTTATCGGACCTGATGTGTCTCGGGGGTCAGACGCGATCAGGCCGAATCCTCTCCGCCGAAATCATTAAACTCTGCAATTCGTTTTCCAGGTGTTCTTTTCTTGTGGGGCATTTATGCAAGAGATTGTGGACGGATGTATTAGGTCCGTACAGATCCGTGGCAATTCGTTCTTCTCCGTATCAATTCGTTCTTCTCCGTATCAGACCGTACTTATTCGTACTAACCCGTGCTTATACCGTAGCAGACCGTAGTGTATCCGTAGTGCGTCCGTCCTAATTCGTGTCGCTCCGCATCAAACCGTGTCGGTCCGTAACAATCCGTGTCTCTCCGGGGGATTTTGGTGGTAAATCCGTCGGACTCCGTACTTATACCGTTGTGTGTCCGTACT